CACACAGACAGGCAAAGACATCCGGAGAGGAACACACACACACACACACACACACACACACACACTGGGATACTGAGATAGCCTCATATGGACACACACTCAAAATGCATGCACACACACACAAACATACATACACACTCTCAGGCCCATAGGAGGCCTGGACACCCTTGACACGCCCCACAGAGGCTGTTGTGGGCAGACAGAGCAAACAGCCCCTAGAATGACCTGCCCCACCTAAGTTGGCACAGAGGGAGTGTTTGCCTTGGTTACAAACCCAGTGCTGGGTGTCTGTCCATGCCTGGGTTCTCCATAGGGCTGAGCCCAGGATCCTAAGATGCCAGACTGTGGGTCAGGACAGTGCTGGGGGGCCCTCTGGGGACAGCTTTGGGGTGTGGAGTGAGGACCAGGGTCCAGCCAGGTATGCTTAGACTTGGAGTGTTCCATGGGGCTTGTTGGACCCAGGGTTTTCTGAAAGCCTGCCTCCTGTCAGGGCATCCGGAGCTGCCTACAGCAGAGATCTGTCCAGGTGGGAGAGATCTGTCCAGGTGGGAGGGTCACTCCTATAAGCAGACAGTGGCACAGTGTGACAAGGGCCATATGGGGGTGAGGCAGATTCCAGAAGGAGGTGATGGGTGAGCTGGGTGAGGATGGGGTGAAGGCATTTGTAGCACAGGATGTATGTGATGGGAAGTTTATCAGGAAGAACAGGAAATGATGAGCAGGGTCCATGTGGAGGGGTTGAGAGAGGACACTGGAGAGATGGTGGAGGTTGGCTCCTGCAGGGCCTCTGGCTCAGTGAGGACCCTGAGCTTTTCCTGGAGGAGGATGGGAGCCTCAGGTGGCTTCAGCCAGCTGCGAGCCAAGTCTGAGGACCAGTCATCTAGAGAAGAAGGTAAAACTTCAAGCTTTTCTTTTTTTTTTGTACCTTTTGCATGCTAAGCATGTACTCTACCGCTAAGCCATACCCTCCCTCCTCGAGGCAAAACTTTAAACTTGTTTTTTATGTTTCGTATTTATTCAACTCATCTCTAGTCCCCTACACCAGTATGTTACTTTTGTCCACTGAGAGAAAAATAAAATTGGATTTGATTTTGGCCTAGACCCTTCAAAAAAGTCTTTGTGATAAAAACTTGTTCTGGATAAAAAGAATTGTAGGTGGGGCAGGGTGTATGTAGCTCAGTGGTATTAGCATACACAGGTTCTGAGTTTAATCCCCCGTACTTCCAGTAAACAAACAAACAAACAAACAAACAGAACTCCCCCCTCCCCACTCCCCCCAAAAAAGACATGATAAAGATGTGAAAGAGACATGTTGATTAAAGGCAATGGATAAATCGCCTCTGGAACCTCAGTCTGGGAGCAGTGGGTAGAGATCAGACTCCCAGGAATCAGGTGGGGCTAGGCATGAAGTTTTGATCTGTAGCTCACCAGCACCTTAACCTGGGGTGGATCCCTTTGCCTCTCTTAGCCCATAAGACAAGGTGCCTCTGCTGTTGACAACAACGTTGCCTGTGACTTGGGGAGCACAATGCATGGTGTAGGGTGAAGTTCCAGTGACAGCAGCTTCTTACTATGGCTCCGATTGTGGTTTTTTGACCAAACACCAGAGTGGACTCATGGCCCTCACCAAAAGGAGGAGTCGCTCTGGGGTTCTCTGATGCCCAGGTCACAGCGGGTTTGGATGCCGCTTTGATGGCTCTGTCACCCTGGCAGCCCTCCTTCCCATGCTGCTATTGGGTGGGCAAGAGGGAGCCCTGTATTGGGAGTCAGAAACCTGGGTCTGAGCCCCTGATCAGGTGGAGGTTCTTGCTGGCTGTGTGACTGTAGGGGTTGTCCTTCTCGCCTGGGCTTCCTCTTTCTCGCCTGGGAGATGCAGGGGTTCCAGTTGTATCAACTGTGTACAGCTGTGTGTCAGAGTCACATGTGATCCAGAGAAATGGCTGGGATGGGGACACAGGGCCTCCCTGTGTGGAAGGAAGCTACACCTGGGCAGTGACAATAAGAGGAGAGGCAGAGAGCCCTAAGCCAGAGTCTAGAGGGGCCTAGTCGGGGTGGGGGAGACCCAGGGACAAGGAAGCCCCCGCAGAGGACCCCTCCTTGATGGCAGGGACCCTTTTCATCTCATCTCTGATGTTCATTGCCCAGCACAGGTGACTGGACAGACATATGATGCCTAACTTGCAATCAGACTGTGTCTAGAGGGCACAGGATTGGGAATCAGGGCATTCCAGGAAGAGGGACCATCCTGTGCAAAGGCCCAGTGGTATGATCTTTCAGACACCATGGCTCTGTGACTTGTTTTGTCTTTCAAGGGCTGCCTTGAAGATATTGATGATAATAGTTAGAGCTCATTGGATACAGGGTGCTTTACATGCATGATCTCATTACATTCTATGGAGTGAGGTCCCCTTGTCCCTCTATTTTAAAGATGGGGAAACCAAAGCACAGAGAGGTTGAGTTGTCCAAGATCACACAGCTAGGAAGTAGGAGAAACAGGATTTAAACTCAGATAGTCATGAAGGCCCTTTTCAGAGTAATACCCTTCCCCAGGGCCAGGGCAGCCCCGACCTGCAGCCTCAAACCTTTGTTTCCTCCCACCAGCTTCCCAGAGGTCACATGTGCACCGACGTGGGCTCATAGAACTAGCAGGGACTGTGGAATGTGTTGGCACCCGCTCCTCCATGGCCTATGTGAACTACGGCTGCTATTGTGGGCTGGGCGGCCATGGCCAGCCGCTGGACGCCATTGACTGGTGAGTACTTGCTTGGGCTAGAAGGCCTCCACCCCCTGGGTTAGTTAAGGCCTATGAGGAAATATCCAAAACTGGGGCTGGGGTTTAGACTCAGAAGATCCCAGGATGGGTTACCACCCTGCAGATGTAGAACCTCCTGGGTGACATGCTGGTGAGGACAAACCTGGTGCCAGCTGCCCCCCAATCTGGCCATGGGGTGATTACTTCAGCTGAAAAAAAAAATGACATGACATCGATCAGATATGCACCAGAAGTGTTCTGAGAAACTTAAAGTGAGGCACAGACAGGTCAACTTGTCTGGGGCCACACAGAGAGGATGGGGTGGAGGCTGGGATTTGAACACAGGCAGCCTGGCTGGAGCCAGGCCCCTCGTCACTGCCCTCTACTACCGTGTGGAAAAGGCCTGTTCTGTGCAAGGCTGTGTGCTTAGATCTTTCCATGACTTCCTCTCATTTGCCCTTGCGGCCGTCCGTGCAGGCAGGTTCCATGGCTACCCCCATTTTACAGATGAGGCCTCGGAGGCTGAAAGCTACTCAGCCCATTTCCACATTGTGCTAGTAGGCATAGAGGGCAGAATTTGACTGTCCCTTCCCTAGCTTGGAGGGTGTAATCATCACTGACAGGTCTTTATCCAGCCTCGTGCCTTCAAAGCCCCTGCCCTCCCACACTCTGGTTGTCTGGTTCCTGCACATCTTTCCAGATGCAGCCCAGGTGTTACCTCCTCTAGGAAGCCTTCCCTGAAGCCCATCTGGGCCTGGAACCTCCTCTGGCTCCCAGAATCCCCTCTCCTTACCCAACATCCCAGCACTTCTTGGCACGCATGTGGCATCTGGTGGCTTGTCTGCCTCCCCCACCAGACTGGGGCTCCTTGGGGACAGAGCAGAATCTGACTGACGTCGCCCTGCCAGACCCCGCTGAGGGTTCGACATGGAGTGGGGCTGATGACTGGATGGAAACAGTAGCTCTGAATGATTGCATGACGGGCAGATTTACAGATATCTCTGGGTGTTTCTCGGGGAACTTGTATGTTGTTATTATTATTATTACTATTGTGACTGAGGTCCTATCATGTGGCAGACCTGGGGCTGGACTCTGTGACCCTGAGGGGAACAGGACAGAAATGGCCCTGCCCTCACAGAGCTCTGGCCAGGAGGACAGATGTTAATCAGTCTTCTCCCTAATTAGAGTCTCATCATAAACCTGTCCCGAGGCAAGGAACCTGGTTTTATGAGAGGGTGTGATAAGGAGATTGGCAGAGACTGGGGAGACAGGGGATCTGGATGGCATTCTGAGGAAAGGGGCTGGTGCTTGGACAGAGACCTAGAGCAGGAAGAGTGGGTAGGAAGTTCTCCCAGACAGTGGGCAGAGCGTGGGCAAAGTCAGGAGGCAGGGAGGGTGTGGCTCGCTCCAGGAACAGAGAAGAGACAGTGAGTCTGGAGCTCAGAGACTCAGAGAGTGAGGCATTCAGGGACCAGGCTCGAGTGTGGCCAAGGGATGTAGGCAGTGCAGGACACACTGGGGTCAGCAGAATTATTTTCCAGCATGGGGATTCTTGGGGACAAATCTTGGACCAGAAAATGCTGTCACCCCGGGGGTCCCCACCTGCCCATAGTTCCGGCACAGGAAGATGGCCAAGAGAGCATCCCTGCCTTCACCCACTTGCTGGTCTGCCTGGCCACCATCCACAGGTGCTGTCATCACCATGACTGCTGCTACAATCGTGCCGAGGATGCTGGCTGCAGTCCCAAGTTGGAGCGCTACTCCTGGCAGTGTGTCAATCACAGCATCCAGTGTGGTGAGTTCCAGCATTAGACCCAGTAGCAACCAGCGGCTGGAGCTTAGAGGGGCTCCCAATTACAGGCAGGGTCTCTCTCCCATCTGCCCCAGTCTCTACCATGCCCTATTGTCTGTCTGACCTTAAGGCCAAGCGTCAATTACCATATTTCATTTCCCTTGTGCTGTTGATTTTGTTATGGAAAAGAAGTATTTCTATCAAACCTAAAGAAACAGAAGGTAGACTGAATGTTTGGAGAAAAATGGGAGTGGTGAGCCCATTTATTTGTCAAATTGAAGAGTGCACCTGGCTTTGACGTCTCTCCTTTGCTTCACTCATTAGCACTACCTGCCTCAGGGGACAGCTGAGTTTGCAATCCCTGGCCTGGTGGTCAACAGCTTAGTCAGTGATTCAGATTCAGGTCACGCCCTGATCTCTCAGAGCCTCAGAAGTTTCCTCATCAGTAAACTGGGGGCAGAAATCAAGCCAGCCTATTGTGAGGATGAAATGACAGTGTCACAGGGCTTCGCGCATAGTAGATGTCATTAAATGTCTGTTGACGAAGTGACTCAACACAGAACCTCTGGTGAGGGTGACCAGGTACCCCTCCACCGAGCACAGGATTTGGAGGAGTATGTGAACACTTACTGAGTAACCCTGAACCCCTCAAAAAGAAAGTGGTTTTCAATTCTCTTTTAATCCCTCTTATTTTATGAAATTAGGAGAAAGTCTCAGTTCTGTGCAACTTTGCTCTAACATCCCTGGAACTCTGGCTGATCCTTTTCAACCCATAGAGTGAGTTTCTGGTTTACAGCCTTATTCAAAAACAGTTCTATTTCTAAATTTAGTTCTGGCTTAAAGAAAATCCTTCATATCTATCTATCTACCTATCTGTTTCTCTATGTCTTTATCTTTAACCACAAGCAGCATATACTTAATGAGGATAATTGTAACACAATATATTCTAACATCAGCGTACATTTTACATGACCAGCCACTTCGGAAGTTCAAAGAAAAATAAAACTGCAATGAAAAATGTTGTGTCTCTCGGGGCAAACTTTCTGATTTTTAAAACAAAGCAATAGCGGGGAGGGTATAGCTCAGTGGTAGAGTGTGTGTTTAGCGTGCACGAGGTCTTGGGTTCAATCCCCACTACCTCCATGTAAACACATAAATAAGCCAAATTTCCCTCCCCTCCCCACCCCAAAAAACAACAACAAAGCAATAAGAAGAGTGAGGCATTTCTTTTTAATGTTACTTTCTGATGGGTGGTATTTTCTGTTTAAAGTTTCCCTTCAAGTAAATTTAAAAGCTGAATCAATGGGAAAAACCAGAAAGTGGGTTAATAGTAATGGCACGATGTAGGGAAGGGTTAGGGTTTGGGCAGTAAGACTCCAAGTTATCTGAGGAGCCAGAAATGACACAGGCAATTGGTTCCACAACTTTTTTAGGTTTTACTTTTTTGGTGGGGTGGAGGAGGAGGTAATTAGGATTGTTTGTTTGTTTGTTTGTTTGTTTGTTTATTTATTTATTTATTTATTTATTTATTTATTTATTTATTTATTTTTAGAGGAGGTACTGAGGATTGAACCCAGGACCTCATGCATGCTGAGCATGAGCTATACTCTCCTCCCCACGCTTTTTTTTTTTTTTCATTAGTAGAGGTGATTAGTGTATCTCATTGTGGTTATGATTTGCCTTTCCCTAGTGAGTAATGATGCTGAGCATCTTTTCGTGTGCTTTTGGGCCGTTTTTGTATCTTCTTTGGAGAAATGTCTATTCAAGTCTTTTGCTCATTTTTAATTGAGTTGTTTGTCTTTGTGCTGTTGAACTGTAAGAGTTCTTTATATATTCTGGATACTGGGCCCATTATACATGGGATTTGCAAATATTTCCTACCATTCTTTAGATTGTCTTCTCCTTTTCTTGATAATGTCTTTCATACACAAGAGCTTCAATTTTGATAAAGTCCAATTTACCTATTTTGTCTTTTGTTGATTGTGTTTTTGGTGTCCTATCTAAGAATCTATTGCCAGATCCAAGGTCATGAAGATTTACCTCTGTTTTCTTCTAATAGTTTTATAGTTTGAACTCTTAAATTTAGGTCTTTGATCCACATAGAGTTAATGTTTGTCTATGGTATGGGGTAGGGGTCCACCTTCATTCTTTTGGGTGTGGATATCCAATTGTTCCAGCACAACTTGTTGAAGAGACTCTTTTTTTCCCTATTCAATAGTTTTGGTATCCTTGTTGAAAATCACTTGGCCTTAGATGGGTGACCTCTCTGAGCCTGTTTCTTTACCTGGAAGATGGGTGTTGCAAAGAAGAAAGAAGGGTTTAATACGTGATAACCAAATTGGACTGAGGTTGTTACTTTCTTCCTTCCCCTCTCCTCCATCCTTCATCCTTATCTGAACCTCTCTCTGACCCCCACTACCTCCATCTGAAAGAATTGAGGATCTGGTATGACTTGCCACTAAAACCCCAGCTTCTGCAGACTCAGTCTACTTTAGAGGAAAAGGAGCTATCATAAGCTGACTTAGAAGGATGTCCTTAGAGACGTTTGGTTTCTCAGCCATATCTTGGTCTGAATTAGGAGTTGGCATAGAGCAAGGCTGTATTAATATAGAGACATAACATCAATGTTTAGGACTAAAAGTCATCATCTCTCTAACCATCTAATGAGAGTTGGGGAAAATGAAGCCCGGGGAAAAAAGTGACTTTCTTAACGTGGTGGTGAGAAACCCACTTCTGGACATGTTACTTGTGCCCAAGCTGCCCCCTTCCACTGTGGGCAGAGAGGAGGTGGGGTGGGCTTTGAATGGGAAATCTGTTAAAGTATCTTTCTCTTCCCTGCCTGCCCCTAACCCTGTAAAAATCATGTTTGTAGACTATTTCTTGGTGTGTCTGCTGGTGGAGTCTGTGTGTGTTGACAGAACTACCCTCCCTAAACCCAACGAAGAGAACCAAAATATCTATTATGCATTTTTGGCTAAAAATATTCTCTTATTCTGTTTGGAGATATTCTGAACATAGTTGTTGACTTAATTACAGGTGGGGCCCATTTTCCATTTATGGGCCTGACTTAAATATATTTTAAAAAATGTTAAGCATATAATAATATTTGCTGGCCGGCCTTTATTTTAAACTTAACCCTGGGGAACTATGTTTCATTTGAAGCTTGTTTTTTTTAAGTTCATATAACTTTTTATTTTGTTTTAATTTCCTGATAACTATTTTTTAAAAACATTTTTTATTGAGTTACAGTCATTTTACAATGTTGTGTCAAATTCCAGCATAGAGCACAATTTTTCAGTTATACATGTGAAGTTTTTATTATTCTTGAATAATGTGAGGCTGTTGGGTTCCTGAGGCCATGGAGCAGTGAGACCAAGCTTTGCTTTAGAAAGAATCTTTCTTGCTCAGGGAGAAGGGATGGGAAAATAAGCGAAGCACAGACAATGGGTCAGGAGATGCTGGGCTGGAATCCTGGCCCACCACTTCCCAGCTCTGAAGCCCGCCAAGCCTCACTTTCCTCATCTGTAAAATGGGAATAATAAAATTGGTGCTAGGTTTCTAAAAGAATAGGAAATGATGTATGGCTTTTCTGTAGTCTCCCAACAAATATTATGGAGAATCTGCTCTGTGCTAGGTTTTGGGCAAGACAGAGAAGCAAGGTTCTGTAGTCTAAAAAGAGGAGAGCGAAAAATAGTGTCTGTGCCAACCTCTTTTATAAGAGCTGTGTCAGAGAAGAAAGCAGTGGATTATGATATGTCCTACAACATGGATGAATCTTGAAAACATGAAGCTCAGAGAAAGAAGCCAGACAAAAAAGGTCACATATTATATAAGTCTATGTATATGAAATGTCCAGAATACTTAACTTCATAGAGACAGAAAGCACATTAGTGGTGGGGGAAGAAGGTGTCGCTCAGTGGTAGAGCGCATGCTTAGCATGGACAAGGTCCTGGGTTCAATCCCCAGTACCTCCTCTAAAAATAAATAAATAAATAGACCTATTTACCCTGCTCCCCCCAAAAAGTTCTTAAAAAAAAGAAAAAAGCACATTGTCATTCGTTGCCAGGGACTCTGGAGAGGGGAAGAGGGGAGTGACTTAATAGGCATGGGGTTTCTTTGGGGGTGACAAAAATGTTTTGGAATTAGATAGAGGTCATTGCACACCACTGTGAATGTACTAAGTAACACCACTGACTTGACTAGCTCCTGCTAAGTTTGGCATCCTTTCCTCCAGATTTGTGTGTGTGTGTGTTTAAATAAATAAGAAGAACAATCAGATCACACTACATACATTTTATAAGTTTTTTTTTCACGTAATATTATGTCTTGGACATCTTAGAACATCTAGGTTGGTCTCATTCTTTTTAAACTAGAGCATCATCTATGGCAGAGTGTCTCCAGCCTAACACCGTGGACATTTTGGGCCGGATGATTCTGTTGTGGGGGCGGTCCTGTGCACTGGAAATGTTTAGCAGCATCCCTGGTCTCCACAAGCCGGATGCCAGGAGCAATGCCCCACACCCCACATGTGACAACCAATGACGTCTGCAGACACTGCTTAATGTCCACTTGGGGACACAATGGCCCACAATTGAGAATGACCAGTCTGTGACAGGAATGTACCTTATTTTGACTGCTTCCCCATCAAGTCCTGTTCACAGCTGCAGAGACCATGTCTTGTTCATAAGTCGGTGTGCACTTGTGAGACAGTTTTGTAGCACTGGGTCCTAGAATTGTTGAGTCAAATGGTGTATTTGAGGTGCCTCTAGAATTTATATGTGGAAACAGCTGAGGGGCAGCTTGGAAGGAGGACTAGAGAATTTGTCCTGAGGGCTATTTACACAGCAAGGTCATTTAAAAAATGTAAATTGTGTTGGCTGTAGAGGCTGGGGAGGGGCTAAAGGGAGCCCTGGTAAGATTAGGGGGGAGGAGGGCCACCAAAGCCCCCACATGCCCCCGCTTTTCAGCACTGTCACTGCGTGGGACAGATACTTTAAATCTAACAAATAATGGAAATTAAACCTTGAAATAGCTGCCTTTCAGATTTTGTTGAGATTGCTTTTTCCATGATGAAAGCGCCATATGGCTCAAAGTAGAAAAGTTTCAAATTACAAAATGTAAAAGTTTTATGGAAATAAAGCTGCCATAGACATTACCCAGACAACCACTTGGTTAACCTTCATTTTTTTCTTTTTTGGGAGGTGACTTTTTTTTTGGGGGGGGTCGTTTTTGTGTGCATAATTTATTAAAAAAATAGCAGTATGTTTTGTACCCCTGATTTTTCTCTTAAGTATAAGCTGTTTCCCATGTCATTAAAACTCTATTAAACAATCCTGTTACAAACTTGAATTTGTAAGGGCGGGCGGGTGCCCTGAGTTGACACCCCATTCCCTTCCTGTGGACAAGCCTTTTGAGGCCTGGGGTCAGCCAGAGCTGGGCTGGGGCCTCAGTCCCCATGCCCCTTCCTGGATCTCTCTTCTGTAAGGTCGGGGTGCTGATGGCACCGCCCTGAGTGGATGGGGTGAGATGGGGACCTAAGCCAGCCCTTCCCATAACTGTACAATCAATGCTGGCTTCCACGTCCCCACTTTTTCTGTTATCCACTTAATGAATTGTAACCAAGGCAGTTTGCAGTGATTAAACACAGGCTTTTGGAGTCGGGGGTGTTTGTGCTTTGTCCTCCCTCTCAGCAATTTCCCAGAGTGTGGAAGCTTAATAAATGAACTTTACATGAGAAAGACTTCCCCCTTTCAGTCCTCTGTTAATTTTTCCAATTAGGCAAGGAGGAAGTATCAGTGGCGTGATGATCTGGCTGCTACAGAGGGTGAACCTCTCTTACATGTGCTAATCTCCCCTTTTTAACCAAAACATCCCAATTTGGGGGCTTATAGCCTTTCAGGTGGGCAACAGCATCTAAGCAGACTTTGATTAGAACTTTATCTTCAGTGGTTTTTGTTGTTGCTTTTGCTTGTTAGTTTTTGAATCAATTTTTAAAATGTTTTATTTTGAATCCTTTTAAAAAACGTGTGGTGTAAGATTTAGGTTTCCCACTTACATCAGTGATAGCATTTACTTAATGTAATCGAATGCTATTTAACATAATTAAACTATAATGTATTTATTGAATAATTGACTTACTATTTTAAAAAATGAAGGGATTTAAAGCAATCGTCTTGAAGCTGCCATGTGCCTGAGTTTGGGAAACCCTGTGTGCAGTCACGCAGATAAACACTTTAAATCCCGGCAGCTCACTACAGGGCCTAGGGTTCCCGCCCCCTGCCTCTGCCTTACACCCCTGCTCATCACCCTGTTCCCTCCGTTCCCTCTGGTGCTGCCACGCTCTCTGAGTGTGGCCCCGAGGGAGAAGATGGATTTTCTGACTCTCTTGCTCCAACTTCCTAGGACCTCCAAGGAATGTGTGCATTTTTAAGGGGGGATTTTTTAAAGATCAGTTGGCAGCTTAAGGAGGTCGGCCATAGCTCCTGAGCGCCTACTGGATGCCCTGCATTTTACCGACTCTTTTCATTCTCCCAACAGCCCTGAGGAGTAGGTACTGTTAGCATTGCCACGTGGTCTCGTGGCAACAGCCTGGGAAAGATGAAGTGATGTGTCCAAAGGTACACAGCTACTCTATCCATGGCCGAGCTGGCGACCTCCAAAGCTCATGCTTCACTGTGCCTCTGAGAGGAATTTGGAAGGATTTACTAGTGGGTCCCCTCCATCATTTATGTGAATAATTAAAAACCCGCAGTCAAAAGCAGGTGACATATCCACAGCTGTTCTATCTTCTAGATGAATAAGATACAACTTGAAGATCACAAACTCTTTCCAACTCAAAGTAATGACTCTGTAGCCATGGGATTCCCAAGGCAGAAGGAGATTTACCTTTGGGTGGCAACCTTTGCATCTCTGTATGAGGTGGGCCCAGGATGGAAGGGAGTATGGAATACATGATTGGTACCTAAAACAAGCTGTTTTCTTGGATGAGCATCTGAAAGAGACTTAGACAGGGGCAGAGAGAAGCAGGTGGAGCTGATGCTGTTGGAGTGCATGTCCAGGGCCAGACCCTTGCTGGGCACTTTACACAGGCTTTCTCACCCAGGCTTCCCCATAAACCCGCAAAGTGAATGGGGCCTGCATTTTAAATGAGGACTTGGTTCAGATAAGATCACACAGCTAGGAAATAGCAGAGCAGTGTTCAAAACCAACCAACCAACCAACCAACCAACCAACCCTGGATGGTTCCCAGGCATCTATTGCTTGTCTAAATGGATCCTCAAATCCAGGAGTGTAATATTGATGGAGAAGAGAAGCCAAAAGTTCATATGCACTTTGGACTCTCCATGTCCAAAGACTTCCCTGGTAACTTCAATTTCCTTTTCTGTAAAATGGGGCAAACATCACCTCCCTCTGGAGTTGCCATGAAGATGGAGCTCACATGGTGAACCGTCAGTGTCACCCAGATGTAATCACGACCCTTCCCTCTCTGCCCCCAGTTTTACTCACTTCCCCTGTGTTTATCCTCGAGTCTCTGCAAGTCCCTGCTCTAACCTGTTTCCCCGCTTCTTCTAGGACCAGCGGAGGACAAATGCCAAGAACTCATGTGCAAGTGTGACCAGGAGGTTGCTAACTGCTTAGCCCAAACTGAGTACAACCTAAAGTACCTCTTCTACCCCAGTTTCTTATGTGGGACGGACTCACCCAAGTGTGACTGACTAGCCTGACTTGAAATGCCTTTTTTTGCACTAGGAAATAAAACTCCTTTTTGCTGATCAACAACCTTATTCAGTTCTTTGCAGGAGGAGACTGAGGCCAAGTGTTAAAGCCGCAACCCTTGTGTTTGCTTTCTCTCCTGTCCAGGAACTTGGGGCTGGAACCAGTTTGGTTTCCAGTTTAATTGATGTCAAAAGTCCTATGCCTATTTTATAAAACCGCAACTGTATTTATGACTGTATTGGGTTTGATACCATTTTTGAGGTTTAATCTTTATGAAAGGGCTGAGCTTTGTCTTCTAACCTGCTCCCAAGGGCAGTAGTCAAAAATCAACAAACACTTACCAAGCACCTGGCCTTGTTCTAGGTTCCGGGCTGAGGCAATAACAAAGAAAGCCACACGGTGCCCACCCTTGTGAAGTTCAAGTCTAGCAGTTGTTAGCTCAAGAATCTTCTTCCCTATCCCACTCCACTTTTAACACCTAAAATTTATTTCCTATTACAAAGGTCATACATACTCATTGCTTAAAAGAAAGGAAAATAGAGAAATATAAAGGAGAAAAAAAAATTACTTCCCACAGTCCAGAATAACCATTTTTAGCATCTTAGTGTGCTGCCCATCAATCTTGTCCATAATGTTTTAAAAATGTAACTGAGATTATATACCTTATGATTTTCATAAGCTTTTTTCCATTTCTCCATGTCTTAAAAAAAAAGTCTCTGGAAACTTCACTTTAAAGAGTTGTATTAGATACTATTTTATAGATTGCTAGTTTTTAGACATAGGTGGTATTATTTCCTATAAAAATCAATTATTGTTGTGATGAGAATGCTTGGGATTAAGTCTTCGCCCCCCTCCCCAATTCCCACCATTTTATTATTCCTTAACTGCGATTTGCAGAAATGGAATTTTTGCATCAAAGAGCCTGAATATTTTAAAGATACCTCACTGTGACAGACCCCAGCCGACTATGACTGAGTGGGTCCGAGGGAGGAGAGGCAGCCGGTGGCCCTTGCTTTGATATGCCAGTACCTCCTGCTGGCGATAAGGAGGGAGTGTCCAGCCCAGCCTGTTTGCTCTAGGCCAAGTCCGCTGTGCGCTCCTCCCTGTGGCATCTGTGGGTATTATTACTCATCTTTGAAGCATGATGTGTGGAGCAGGTGGGGACAGTGTGGGGAGGCCAAGGGGAGCGGGTGGGGAGCACTGGACCGGGAGTCTGACAAACTGCAGTCTGGCCCAGGCCCAGCTCTGCTGGTGCCACCCAGCCTCCACCTCTTCATCTAAAAAGAACAGCAACCCTGCGAGGCATGATGCCAGGGATGTGCAGATGCTGTGGTATCCCCAGATCTGCTGGGCTGTCAGTATCCCTGGCAGGTCTCGAGGGTTAAAAACAGGGCAAGTCAGGTATCCTCAGGGACTGATGAGCAAACACAGGAGGAAGAGAAACACTCTCCCTCCCTTCACTTAAGATGTCTTCGGTGGCTCCTTGGTTAGAGGTCCATGTCAGGCTGGGGGACTTGAGCATGACTAGTTGATTGTATTGGGTGATGCAGAATTTCTTCTTGTTTCCTAAACAGTTCACTTTTCTCTATCTAGAAGTTTTATCTGTATTAAAAAAAATCTTCATTTTTACTTCATGTAATTTCTTCAAACTTTCAGATGCAAAGTTTGATTAAAATCCTCAAAGGGCTTGAGTGGCTCATGGAGTCACCAAAAACACTTTGGAACTTTGGATGCACTGATCTCTGTAGGTCCCCTCCTCAGACAGCTCACATCTCACACCTGCTACTGTCACACAGGAAGGCAATCGAAAGCCATAGTTCATCTCACTCATATTTACAAAGTTAGCATTTGGTGTAATTATACTTGCCATTTTACACATTTGAACAGGACAATAAAGATTATATAGTGTGAGGTCAATGTACAAAATGTTTCCTTGAACAAACGGACTATCCTGGATTTTACAGATTAAATTCTTCAAAACAAGATAAAGCAAACCCCGAAACAACAATTTTAAGTAGCACTGAGGCAGCTCAGCCTGATGTGAATTACTCTCCATTAACTGCCTGACATCCCACTCTAATCCTCCCAGAGAAGGGGATCCACATTTTCAATTACACGTAGAAGAGTGATAATAAGTCTGCATTCTGGCCTCACACTGAGTCCTTTGAGAGGTTTAACTCTGATACCTTCTAGCAACTCTTCAATGAAGACAACTGCTGACAGGTTTTGGTTTTTCCTCTGTGTTTTTTATGTGCGGCTGCCTATGCCTATGACAAGACTTTCTCCTGTTTTTCTGAACCTGACTTAGAGGACAGGCCTGGCTTGGGCTCACTCCTGGGGCTCCGACTCACTGCAGGGGCCTTTTGTCAGTCACTGAGGTTAGGGCAAGTGGGACTGCGACCCACTCCATGTCCTCTGAGGACCTGGGGTCCTTGCCAACCATCGTGGACTGGGCCTCCAGAGTCCCTGTGAGGAAGGCGGCTGGGTGGGAGGGGCTGCTGCTGTGGCCGAGCTCTGGGATGCGGCCCCTGCTGCCACAGGCAGGGGGAGAGGGGGCCTGGCTGTAGCCTCCGACAGACAAAGCAGCAGAAAACAGGAAGTCCGCCCCCCTCCCCCCGCCTCCTCTCCCCAACTTCAGCATCAGAGCTCCGAGGGCAGGGAGGCTGGAAGAGTCCCTCCGAGCCTGGGTAGCGTCAGTCACAACACCTGCGTTTCCAGCCGTCGGACCTCCTTGACCACGAGATCAATGTTAATAATTGGGTTAAAGTACAGGGCCCAGTAAAATAGACAGTTGCAAACGAACTGAGGAATGAGGGGCCAGAACATGGCCACAAAAAGCCCCTGTGTTGATACTTTCCAAAAATGGCTCCACATCCTCTGAGGCACAGTCCTGAAAAGGGAAGAAAGCGTTTGAGAGGCAGAATCGTGATGGCGTTTAATGACAATGTCCAAGTGCTCAGACCCTGGGCCTTTTCCCAGCGCTGAGCCTGGCTGCCTGTGCTGCAAAGACCTTGCTTTCTGTCTCCAGTGTCCGAGACATACCTGACCCCTCCACCTTCAACTCTCAGGATGCAGCCTCGAAAGTGCATCCTCAGGGCACAGCCGCCTGGTACCCACACCTGCCCCACACAGGTGAGGCCTTCCCAGTTCAGCCGCAACTCCACCCACTTGGTCTCTGGCTGTAGGCCTTCAGAGTACAGACTGCCTTCTTTACCAAAAGATTGGCAGTGTCCAGCAGAGAACCAGGGGCAAACTAGGGGCTCAATTAACTGCAGGAATAAGTGAATTCAGAGAATTGAAATAGATGAGGGAGGGTCTTGTCAGGTCCTTGGAACTATATATAAGGTTGCTCTTCATTGATGAGGCCAAGAGCCCTCTGAGTCCTGGGCAATTTTAGGCAGAAAGGATGCTGGTGTGATGACTCGTGACTTCTGCCTGCCCAGCAGCTACCCTGTTTCCTGGAAGCACCTTCTGGGTTTTCCTTTGGGATGCCTCCCCCGGCAATTCATGTGGCCTGGGTGGGGCTGAGGCCTAGCTGGGGGGTGAGGGCATGCGGGCGTCCGACCCTGCAGACCCCTGCATTGTGGGATGGGTGTGAGCAAAGGCGCGTGAGCCGAGACTTCCTCAAGCGCACCAGGGAGCGAAGCGCTCTCTTTCCTCCAGGGCTGCCTGGCTGCTCAGATCTACACCCAGAGCCGCTAAGGACCCCCGCACAAAGAGAGCTGTTGCGGCTGAACAGCACAGGGAAGAGCAGAGCTGGGGGAGGGAGAGTCGGCCCTGATGACAGAACTCGGGTCTCTGGGTCCAACCACGCAGGAAGCTTTCACTGGGCATGTCCCTTGGTAGGAAAGCCAGTTTAGGTTGGTTTCTGTCACTTGCAACCAAAAGTCCTGACTCAGTGACTGTCTAGTCCAACTCTCTCATTTTATGCATAAATCCAGAGAAATTATTGCTGTCCCAGTTGGTGGCAGAGCAGGATTAGAACACATGCCGACAGAATTCCTCGTCAGATCTCTTTATGCTCTGCCGTACCACGGCTTTCCATGAAGTACCTTCTTCTCACTTGTTTATTCCTTAATTATTAAACTCCTTCACACACACTCCTGCCCCCAGGAACTATCTGGGGCATCATGTGGGGAAAAGGCACATGGAGACGCACTTTAACAACGAGCGCCATCGCAGCCCCTCCACCCTCAAACCCCCATCATCTCCCATTCGCTGCTTAAGCAGTGTTTCTAAACCAGAGCCCCGAGGGTCCTCTCACGTTTGAATAACACTTCAAAGAGGACTTCTCCTCCACTTGGTGTTTCTTTCCCAGTCTCTGCTGCTCCAACCATCTCCAACATAAACGCACACTTACTTCAGTTCACTTCTTGACCAGATCCTCCAAAAGGAGAATAATTCCAGAACTGAGAGTAACATGGCATTGACGATGAGAAACCGTGACGTCCAGTAATGGACCTCCAGCCAGTCCCAAGCAAACTCGGCCATCAGCTGGTATGGCAGGAAGGAGTACTTGACCAGGAATTCTCTCCACTGTTTCCACGTGGGCTCTCTAAGATCCTTCAAAAAATAACACACAAGTAAATACAAACAAAGAAAAGTGGACACAAAAAATCATGAGGATTGACTTTCACACAAAATTCTGTGGTCATCCCCGTGCGTTTTACATTTATTAACACACATACATCCATCCAACAATCTAAAACGAGATTTCTATCCACCGACTTGCCTTGTAATGATTAATCTTACACGGGATAACTGTTACCAAAAAGGCTGAACTGAGAGGCTTCTTATTTAACTGCGGAAGCTCAGAAGTAAAAAAATCAAAGCATGAGTTATTAATAATGAGATTGAAATGAATCAAAATTGACCGGTTTTAAAATTTCTTCATCACTGCAAGTGTAGCTCAAACAACTTCCCAAATTTAACAACTCATCTGTGGTAGAATGAGAACAGGTCAGAAAGAACCAATGTAAAGGAATTACCCTCAAATGACCAAATAGACAGGACCATCCCTAGTCAATGGGCTCCACCAAGCATTCTGGAGGAATCCATGGGTCAGACTAAAGAAACCAGAGCTGCGGTGGTAACTATCCCTGCCAAGGGCTCTGTGGTCAGCTGACGTGACAACTCCCATCAGTGAGTTGAATGATGGCTTACCGTTCTGAGGCCAACAGGATGGATACTAACCCTGCCTTGTGGTAGGACAAATAATCATCCTTTGGGGATCCTGTTAAGAGACAGATTATCAACCTGGAGGGCCCATAAATGCAACCTTTGGGCAATTGGGACCCATGGTATCTTCTTTCATAACAGAAGCAATGCTGGTTTTTTTTTTTCTTCCTAAATATTTCAAGTCTAGAGAGTAATCCGTGTTATGCAATGCAGGGAACAAAACTGACTTCTGGGAGTGGGGAAGTTCCTGCTCTCT